ATCCTTGGTGCCATCTGTTGGAGATCCACAGACGTGTGGCATCATCGTAGACACTCCATGGTGGGTGGGGAGCTAGGAGGGCGAATCACAATTAATACTACCATGACACCCCCACTCAAAAAACGTTCACACGAATCTAATGATTCGATTTCTTCTGAGGATGAAGATTCTACTAAACCTTTCAAAAATCCTGATTACTGGAAAACGTAAGTTAAAATGGTCTGTCTGCTTTAAATATGTCTCTTGTTAGCAGAATGCTGATGAATTGAAATCTTTGACTAATAGATGTAATTCATTAAAATTAGTCTTTACCCCTCTACAATTCTACTGTAGAATATTAGTTGAAGAAACCATCTTTTCGGGGGATTGACAGGAGATCTACTCCTCACCTTCCTTGAGGGCGACAAGCTATGTGCCCTTTGATGGCTGATGTCGGACACATCCATGTTCTCAAGGGATCCATACTTATGTAAAAGTTGGATAGTGTTGTCTGCCCCCTTTGATGGTCTACCACTCTGATACCTTTTAGAAGATTCTGGTTTTTGTTTGGACTTGTTCTTAACAATTTGTTTGACACTTTTTTTCTGAGTAAGATGATTGAGCTAATTTTCTTGATGACTGTCCCTGAGGTAATGTTGATTCCTTATCACAAGATGCCTTGGACTGAGTGATTTCCTGTGACGTAGTGATTGTTTGTGTACTTGAGTTCTCCAGTGAAGGCCTCACCTTAACTGCCGCAGACAATAACGTTGGACCAGATGTTTTAGTCCACGTGTAGTCGGTCGGCAACTGTAGAGGGACATGTAACATGTTTGGGCTTAGATACCTAAGGAGAGGCGGAAACAGCAGTAGAATAGGTTTGACCTGGATGTTCCTGATCAAGAACAACCTTTTTTGCAGCGAAAAACGAGATGTTGCGTTCGTGCTTAAATTTTAGACTGAAGTTTCCAACTTGGACGTTCCATAGAAGAAGAAGCATGGTTGCCAGAGCAGTTGACAAAGAGTGGAGGTTTGTCACAGATGGCACTGATCGTAGAGTATATGTTCCTTTAATCTGGAAAAATTTGTCAATAATCGCCAACAGCTGAGGGGATGATATAAATCCGGCTTGGGTCCAAGCAGGTAGCAAAAGAACTGTAAGTCCCCAAGGACCCTAGCATGGTGATCTACCTTCAGATGCTGGCGATCTATAGCCCTTTTTTATATTGTACTGTTTCATTTAATGATATCTTTTTATGGTTGTATGCTAGTTTAAAACATTAATCTGTGATATTCTAGTATTTTTTCTGTCCATCGATAGTTTAAATATATGGATTAAAAGTGTATAACTTCTCGTCACGATATGGCTGAAATATTGCCGATGTGACGTAAAGCATTGACTCACTCACTCACTCACATTTGCAACATCACATCTTGGGCTTAACAAAATGTTGGGTTTTCATTTGCATGCCATCACAATCTTACAGTAAATATAAACGGCGAAAATATGCCACGACTGACGGAAGCCCAACGCAACAATGCCATCAGCCGACTGCAAACTGGAGAATCATCTTCAGCTGTAGCCAGGGTTTTCCCGATGCACCAAGCACCAGACTATGGGCGGTTATTATACACCACGTATCACTGCTAGAGCACAGGACAGCTTCATCCAGTTATGTCACTTACGTGAAAGAACCACCACGGCCACCTCTACAACTACGGTAATACCAGGATTGCGTAGGATATCAGCCCAGACAGTGAGGAAGGTAGTGGCGCTAGACGACCAGGTCAAGGTGTCGTTTTGACGGACCTGCATCGCTGTGACGTCAGTGGTTTTAAGGTCAAAGAGTATGGACACAACTGCAAGGGAGACAGGTTCGGTTTGGTGACGAGTCACGTTTATTTAACCATGCGGATGGTGAACGTCGTGTTTACAGGCGTCGCGGGGAACGTTATGTACAAAATTGCATAGGGGAAGGGGGGACAGATATGGTGGTGATAGGTTGATGATGCGGGCAGCGATCGCCTACACTGGTGGAACAGACCTGGTGCAAGTAACAGGGGATTTAACGGCACAACTTTACACGGATGAGATTCTTTGGACACACGTCTTTCCAATGATCATGCAACAATCGAACAACATTTTCTAACAAGACAACAGCCTTTTTCAGGTTCTGCGATTGCCATCCAGGTCTCCAGATTTAAACTCAGTCGAACATTTATGGGATGCATCTGATCAACGATTGCGAGCACGTCAGCAGCAGGCACCGAACCTCCTACAGTTGGCACAAACACAGCACGCAGAGTTGGTGAACATTCCCCTGACCACAATTCGGGATCTGATAGGTTCCATGGGACGACGATGCCAGTCAGTTTTGGACTCTCATGGGGGGCCATAAAGATATTGAGAAAGGAATTCCTTCTCCTCGAAAATCTACTGTTCCATGTGTGACATATGGCACCTGGTTCAATGACAATGATGTGTGCCAATTTTGAACAATCGATTGCCGTCTGTTGATTATAATAACGATAAATGAAATATACATCTAAAATCACTTTTGCGTTTCTTTTTTTTGAGTGTATACTTTGAAGTGGAATATGTACCCGTATTATTCTGTCCCGTGGAATACGTTTCCTTCATTAGTGTTATGAGTCATCACACGTGTTTAACCATTGATCCTTTTTTTACAAAATTCTGATACTTGTGCACTTGAGTGAGTTAGTGAGTGAGTTGGGTTTAACGCCGCTTTTAACAATATTCCAGTTATATCGCGGCGTGTCAGCTTAATGTGGGAGGAAATCCCGAAGTGATGCAGGTCTCAGACGTTTACCACTTCGGTGAAACCCAGGAGCATGGGTATGGTGCTGACAAACCTAGAAACATAATTGGGGCGAACCGGGATTCGAACCCACAATCATAGGTTTCTGGCGTGCCCAAGGGACGCAACTCTGCACAGCGAATCGCGGCGCCTTAGACGACTGGGCTACCCGTGCCCCCTCAGTTTTTGAATAGGGAACTATAACAGGCTAGGAGTTTTGGAAATTAAAATAATACCTTTATCAATTGTAATCATTGTCAAAGCAAACTTGATGCAGACACTGCACGTCAGTAAGATATTAATATTGCAACACTGGTTATACAATCATAGTTTTAGATATTAAAAATTATTATGAAGATATTGTTTTTAATTTATGAGATGAAAACCAAGATGGAAAGTAACCTTGAATATGATTCTTAACTATATATGGGCTCTTCTGTGTTTGAAACAAATATATTTTTGGGTTTCCATCTCCAATTTGGACATTTATTATGCTATATAGTTCATTCAAGATTAGGACATGTGGGGAAGGGATGACAAATTGAAAAGGATTAGCTCATCAGTTCAGCGATTTTGCCATGATTCCTTTCACCTGCGACGTCCACCATAGTAGATGGCATTTTGATCTGTAGATTGGATTTTTAGATTTTTTAAAACACGTAAACTAAAGCCTTGGAAATGTTCGATATTGGACTGGAAGATATGTTTTAATTTATTGGAGAAAATTTCAACATTTATTTGAAAAAAATATATAATATAGTAGACCTTATCACCACTTTGTTGTAATACGATTCTTAAATTTCTTCTATGTATTAAATAACTTTTTGTATTGGCGAAATAAATCTCCGTTTAGCTGCGCTATCCGCTATGTTTATTTGCAAATGTCAGATTACTTACATTTTGGATCAGGCTTCTCCGTCAACCAACACACAGATACACCAAGAAGTGTTATGAAATGTTAAAAAGATAAGACGAATCGGGTGATGAAAACTGGGTCTCGAAGTACGGAAACTGCTTTGCAAATATGGTTTTGGTTATGTGTGGGTAGCCCAGTCAATTGATTACAGAAACTTCTTCTTATAAATTTGTCAGCTACGATGTAAAGATGTATATTTCCAAGAGTTGAGCCATGAAATATCCATATCAAGATACTTAAAATTCTACTCAATGATTAAACATGACTACAATCCCGAGAAATACTTGTTTATCAATAATGCAGGTTTACGGAGACGCCTGACAAAGCTACGTTGTAATATCCATGGTTTTAGTGTAAATTCTTATAGAAAGTACCAAACACCAGATACATCTTGTCATTATTGTAATGCACAAGTTGAAGATGAACTCCATGTCGTGTTGGTATGTCCGGCTTATAACCATTTACATATTAAATATCGTCCAATTTATTATTATTATCATCCAAAATATGTTGAACATAGTTGATTATGATAAGTTACTTAAGCTCTGTTTTTTCCTCGATAAAGTCTTTAAAATAAGAAATAATATGAATGTATTGTGAAAGAAAATAGAATCATGTTAGTGGCGCCATATCATTATATTGTCCCATATTTTACACATGTTGTACTGTTGGCCTCATGGCCATTTATACAGAATGACTTGATAAATCTCCGTTTAACGTTCTTTAATGTTTTCTGACAAACAGATTTTTATGGATGGTAAGATATAAACATCATCTTTAAGGACAAAGTACATCGACTTTGAATCACGGACAGGTAAATGGCGAAAGAGAATATAGCGAATACGTTGCAATTACAATGAATACATTAAGAAACGACCCCTCGTTAGTAACCCACACTTGCAGAAGCCAGGGCAGCAGATTTACCATCTGGAGGAGGGGTGGGGACAGTGGATGCAACATCTGAAGGACGTAATTTCAAAGGGAACGATGGATAAAGCATCTGGAGGAAGAGTGGAGACAACAGGTTTATTACCTGGAGGAGGGGTTGGGACAGTTTATGTTACGTCTGAAGGAGGGAAGGGTGGATAAATCATCTGGAGGAAGAGTGGAGACAACAGGTTTATTACCTGGAGGAGGGGTTGGGACAGTGTATGTTACGTCTGAAGGAGGGAAGGGTGGATAAATCATCTGGAGGAAGGATGGGTACAGTGGATGCTACATCTCAAGGACCTAATTTCGAAGGGAACGATGGATAAAGCATCTGGAAGAAGGGTGGAGTCGTCAGGTTAAGCGTCTGGGGGAGGGATAGGGACAGTGTATGTTACGTCTGAAGGAGGGAAGGGAACGGTGGACAAAGCATCTGGAGGAAGAGAGGAGACAACAGGTTTATTATCTGGAGGAGGGGTAGGGGCAATGTATGTTACGCCTGAAGGAGGGAAGGGAACGGTGGATAAAGCATCTGGAGGAAGAGAGGAGACAACAGGTTTATTATCTGGAGGAGGGGTAGGGGCAGTGTATGTTACGTCTGAAGGAGGGAAGGGAACGGTGGATAAAGCATCTGGAGGAAGAGTGGAGACAACAGGTTTATTATCTGGAGGAGGGATAGGGACAGTGTAGGTTACGTTTGAAGGAGGGAATGGAACGGTGGATAAAGCATCTGGAGGAAGGATGGAGACAACAGGTTTATTATCTGGAGGAGGGCTAGGGGCAGTGTATGTTACGTCTGAAGGAGGGAAGGGAACGGTGGATAAAGCATCTGGAGGAAGAGTGGAGACAACAGGTTTATTATCTGGAGGAGGGATAGGGACAGTGTAGGTTACGTCTGAAGGAGGGAAGGGAACGGTGGATAAAGCATCTGGAGGAAGGGTGGAGACAACAGGTTTATTATCTGGAGGAGGGGTAGGGGCAGTGTATGTGACGTCTGAAGGAGGGAAGGGAACGGTGGATAAAGCATCTGGAGGAAGAGAGGAGACAACAGGTTTATTATCTGGAGGAGGGATAGGGGCAGTGTAGGTTACGTTTGAAGGAGGGAAGGGAACGGTGGTTAAAGCATCTGGAGGAAGGATGGAGACAACAGGTTTATTATCTGGAGGAGGGGTAGGGGCAGTGTATGTTACGTCTGAAGGAGGGAAGGGAACGGTGGATAAAGCATCTGGAGGAAGGGTGGAGACAACAGGTTTATTATCTGGAGGAGGGATAGGGACAGTGTAGGTTACGTTTGAAGGAGGGAAGGGAACGGTGGATAAAGCATCTAGATGAAGGGTGGAGACAACAGGTTTATTATCAGGAGGAGGGATAGGGGCAGTGTATGTTACGTCTGAAGGAGGGAAGGGAACGGTGGATAAAGCATCTGGAGGAAGGGTGGCGACAACAGGTTTATTATCTGGAGGAGGGATAGGGACAGTGTGTGTTACGTCTGAAGGAGGGAAGGGAACGGTGGATAAAGCATCTGGAGGAAGGGTGGAGACAACAGGTTTATTATCTGGAGGAGGGATAGGGGCAGTGTATGTTACGTCTGAAGGAGGGAAGGGAACGGTGGATAAAGCATCTGGAGGAAGGGTGGAGACAACAGGTTTATTATCTGGAGGAGGGATAGGGACAGTGTATGTTACACCTGAAGGAGGGAAGGGAACGGTGGATAAAGCATCTGGAGGAAGGGTGGAGACAACAGGTCTAGCAACTGGAGGAGGGGTGTGGACAGAATTTCTGCCAAAATTAATTAATGGTTTTATGTCCTTAATTAGAAATGGTATCGGACTGCCACGTTGACATCATGCTAATATACATCTTTCAGGAAATGATTTTCCTTAAAACATTATCTTCAAATATGTATAGCCTTTCGGGCTAACACGTACATGTTTATGCATAATTGTTCGGTGGATTATTTACACATGTATATGCATAATGGGCTGGTGGTGTATTTACACATGTATATGCATATTGGGCGGGTAGTTTATTTACACATGTATATGCATAATGGGCTGGTGGTTTATTTACACATGTATATGCATAATGGGCTGGTGGTGTATTTACACATGTATGTGCATAATGGGCTGGTGGTGTATTTAAACATGTATATGCATAATGGGCTGGTGGTTTATTTACACATGTATATGCATAATTGGCTGGTGGTTTATTTACACATGTATATGCATAATGGGCTGGTGGTGTATTCACACATATATATGCATAATGGGCTGGTGGTGTATTTACACATATATATGCATAATTGGCCGGTGGTGCATTTACACATGTATATGCGTAATAGCTTGCTGGACAAATGAACCGACTTTCTATCAGGGAGGATGTTTGTCTGAATTGATTTGCGGCATTCAGAAACATATTATAATTTCTAATGTGAAGTTTACAAGACATATGCGCCTTTCCATGGTCCCACAGTGAGGACAATGTGTTACTGGCTTGTTAAAAACATAATTATCTCATACACTGACAAAACTGATATGTTCATGAGATGAGACATGCATGCAATTTGATAGTTTATCTATTTATTTACCATTGAAAAGCATTACTGAGTTTACATTATCTGACAAAAAATATATTGAGTCACTAAATAAACGTTAAAAATATAAGCATTCAAATCGGCCAAACAAAATGAATATACTATGTATAAATACAATTTCAGAGTTTGATGTAATTCAGATACATGTACTTTTATCATTTGTTCTACATTCATATAAGTCATGTTCCTGATCGGACACTATATATTTTCCAGGCTGCAAGACGTATCGTTTCAAGTTTACTACATATCCAACCCTGTCTATCGCAGGATATAATGATAAAGGATTTAGTGTAAGATCTGTGATGGAATGTTCTGAAATGTGCATTAATGAGGCCATGAGTTTCATGCATCAGCTATGATTACAGACTGCGAATTTGCGCATGTTGTCTATCATCCTCCAGCTATCTAGATGCATTACCATCCAGTAGAGAGAATGGAGGAACAGAATGGATGCTAGGAACGAGAAACTGCGCATGACAGAAGCAGAAAACCATTGAACAGTTGACTTTACTGTTCATGCGTTTGTGACGTTTTGCACCGGTAAGGCATGATACGCTCACTTAGTGTCATCACTATTTAATCCAGTGATTGACATCATGAGCATCGATCCACGCCATTGGGATACGATGACATGCATCAACCAAGTCAGCAAGCCTGACCACCCGATCCCGTTAGTCGCTCTTATGACAAGCATATTCGCCTTTTACGGCAAGCATGGGTTGCTGCGGACCTATTCTACCCCGGATTTTCACAGGCCAACAAAAGGATCAAGGCTAATCACGTACATGATACATAAACGCGATCTTTCATTTGTTTGTTTGTTCAAGATTTATGCGCTCAGCAGTATTGTCATGACACATCTGATTCAGCGGAGCATGAGTGTGTGAGTCAGTTCAGATTGAAAGTCATCTCGACAATTGTTCAGCCCTATATTGACAAGTTATTCATTAATAGTAATAATACATTTAGTCTTCATAGAACCTGTCGAACTAGAGTATAGTGACATGTACAGATCTGACGTTGACAGAGTTTAGAGATTTGATTGGAATTTGAAGAAGACACACACGAAATGGTGTTCCTAAAACACAAGGTGAAACAAATCATACGTAATGGCGTTCATTAAACACAAGGTGAAACAAATCATACGTAATGGCGTTCGTTGAACAGAAGGTGAAACAAATCATAGTCATAGCATCACACGTAATGTATGTCACCAGCAACACATTTGTCAATATAGGTGTGTACGTGGGCTGGCGGGATAACGCTGACCTCATTGGTCGTGTCATTTTATTTAAGAATACACAACTGTTAATAAACAACATACAGACGAAAGATATATACGTCAAAGAATATGAACGGAAGGGTATTTCATACAAATTAGGTTAGCAACAAACCATTCATTTGAATGTTTATCGAAACACAATATATTTGGAGTTGTTGACTAAAGCAGGGAAACACCAATGACTTGTAAAGGAGCGGTCGTCCATGTATGACGTTACGTCAACAAGACAATTAACAATATTCGGTTGGAATCGATACCAAATTGCAACATTAACAGCTCGGACAAAATTATTCTTCGATTGGGTCAAGTAGCGGCAGAGCCGTACGTAACCAGTTTTTGGGTCAAAGTGTAATGATAAGGTGTGGCATCTCAAGTCACGGGAGAACAAAACTTAAGGACAATGTGTTAGGCGTTCACTACCGGGACGACATCGTTCGAGATCTTTGTGCAATGTCAAGTTGCAGCATGTTAATATCCGTAAACACGACTTTATGAGGCAGCATATCACTGCAATGTCACGGACGGCTGTTTCTCCAGACCCTACCCCAACAAAACATGTCTGAGATGGAACGACACCTACGAAAGGACCAGAATCAGCTGGTAATGCTAGCCTAACTTCCGCTTCGCCTGAATCAACGCAGTTGGTGGTCTCATCCGATATTGACATTGTTATTTGAGCTGTTACCAACCCCTATATTGGGGCGTGTCTTCTCTTTTGTTAACGCGTATCTCCTGTTACCAGCTATGGGTGTTGTCATTGAATTGGCTGTGACAAAACATTGATCAGACGAATGATCAAATTTTATGTTTCAACATAACACTTATTCCACTTTATATGAAACTCTTTTTTTCCGCTGATACACAACGTTCCTTTTTCATTCTGGAATATGTTGGAATATTGTCGAAGGCTGCATAAAATTCCATTCAGTTACTTTAGCCTCCTGCTCATTGCTCAACAGCAAAGTCTAGGATCTATCGTTGACCGATCAAGTGGGATGACATTAAAGTTAAGAATGGTTTCAATTGGAAATTCAAGAAGAAAGTGGATTAAAACCTGTTAATCCAGTCTACAAACATGCTCACACCTATTTAATATATCTAGAGTATATTGTCAAGGAGGCCCCTAATTCCGTATAGTATTTGTATTATGTGTAGAAATCTCGGCATCCGTTATTATAGAAATGTTTACAATTGAAATATGAGAGATTAAAAATAAGCAACATTGATTATTTGCTCCCGCTGTTTGCTGATGATCCAACATGCATCTTAAATGGTACAGAAACAATCTTTGATTGCTGTTATGCAGTTACTTCCACTTAATGTCCGAGTCTCGGGATTTAAAGTGAACATAGATACAATGAGATTAATATGGACAGGCTCGGAAAAAGATCGAAAAAAGACTATGCCCACAATGGAATCTTAACTAGCGTACTGGGCATATAATTTGATACTTGATCTGTGTGCACTATTTGAACTAAACTATAACGATAAAATGTGTATATAGGAAACTTTATTGGCAATTAGTTTCCAAATTAAATCATTTATTGTGAGCATTACCTGTTCCTTACTATACTAGAACCATTTAAAAAACAACCTTCCAATTCCTCTGGGGAATAACCCTGATAAAGTTAAAAGAAACCAGCTTATGGGTAAAACAGATGGGGGGCATGACATGTCCTGAAATAAAGAAATAATACAGGCCTAAAACATTACGTTTTGGTGTTACGTGTCGTTTCCCAAACTGAAACATTATTCTTATCTAGACATCTGTACGTAAAATAATTTAGTGTGAAATCAGCAACAAACCAACAAGTGGTACATAAGCAACAAATGAATTACAAAAATTAACAAGATTTACAAATCAATACAACTTACTTCACATAAATTACAATAGCAATAAACAGTAGAGTTGTTATGCAATATTCAATGCAATGAATGATAAAATGGCAATGGTCTGTATCAAATACAAAAATACAGTGGTGATAGCAAAAGCCTGTGATAATAAAATATATTCACCTAGTGGCGACAGTGGTCAAGCCTCCGCGATGGACTAGGCAGGGAATCAGGGATGATAAGCAACCCTCACATAAAAGCTTGTCTTGACGTGATGAAAATGCGCGTGCTGGCGACAGCTTAGATTCAATGGCATTACATTTTTGTCCTTCTAATCAATGCGCAAACACAATGCATGAGCGTCCCCCGAAATCTCAACGAAAACATTGTAACACAGTTAATGTTAAGCAATAACATACAATGCCACATAACAATGGTGAAGAGATATTTCCTGAACATATGAAGAACATTAAAGCACTGTCCGTAATCTTCGCCAAAGCAGATGGACAATAAACATTATAAATATATAGAGAAATGGATACGAAGTTACGCCAATCGTTATTGTTTAACGCCGCACTTAGCAATATTCCAGCCATATGCCGGCTGTCTGTAAATAAAAGCCGAGTCTGGACCAGATAATCCAGTGATTTACTCCATGACGTTAAACCCTATTTCATTTCTACGAGCACCTATGGCATCTGAACGCAACATCTAATCACAATGACATTGCACTAAAGATTCAAATATACTCCTGTTGCATATAACAGGAAGGCGAATTTACACTTCTAATGTAGCACAGATTTGCGGTGGGCTAGGCAAAACTAGGGATGGGCTGTGTGCCAACGGCATTACACCATGTTTGCGAATAAATGTTTTGCCCCCGATTCACGTATTGCAGAAAACGTTGTTGCTGACGTAGTGGCGAGTGGTATGCCAGGGCAACAAATCTTGACCATGATTGATGTTGAGTTGGTAATGTTATGGTGTCGGTATCACGATTGACAGGACAACTATTGTGAACGGACATTCGACTGGCTAACAACATCTTGACGAAAGAGCCGCAAGATGTCA